AAAAAGCGCAGTAGTACCTACTTTTTCCGACCCGGCAATCGAACCCGAGACCCCTTGCCCGGCAGTCGCAATTGCGACCACTCGGCCAAAGAGGCAATCAGGTAAAATATATTATGATACAAAGTTACTATAAAACTATGTACCTACTTTTTTCAAGAGAATTCTAAGCATAGCATTAGACTATAGTCTAATATCTAGGTACAAAGAAACAAAACCAAACACATAACTGATACAATGATTTCATATTTAATTTTGCAATGCCATACCTAGAAAACACTTACATTTACATGACCTACTTACTAGACCTAATCTATGGAGCAAACGGGTCAAAGTCAAAGTCAAAGCATTTATTTCAATTAAACCATAATTTGGTACTTTTGAAACGTCAACAAATATAAAATAAATATTAGTCTGTCAGTCAGTCCGTCAATGAAGCTAGGTGAAGCTAGGTTGGACTGATCCCCTAAATTACCTAAACTCGAAGTTATCCTCCTTTCAATATCCCTAACAACAATAAGTGTTAACACCTTGAAGATTGCACGTGTAAAACAATTAACAAAATAAATGAAGGAGATTTAGGATAAAAGTGACCTTTACGACAACCAGGCCGAGCCGACCGTAATCTTTACTGGTCCCACCAAATTGACCCATAAACTTGATATCACCGAAAAACTTGGAACAGAAAAACCATTGTTAGGTCAAACTTGTTCAAACTTCGTTGTGAAGCGTATCATGTTTTAGAAAACAGATCAAATATGTAATAGTAGATCCTTCTATAAACAATCTCTTAATCTGTACGTTTAGAATGAAGTCAAACTAGTATTTGTCTTGTATGTATTATCATGTATATAATCATAATGTATTATCCAAGATGTCCGAAAATTTGCAAAACAATTTCTAAAGGCTTCTTAGCAATGTTTATTTACAAACACCATATCGATCATATACTGATCTCTAACTTGCCTGTCTATCGTGAAAAGTATGGCATATCCTTTTAGAGTCTTATGTCGAAGGCCCATACTCTATCAGTGGATTTACAGGGACTGTTATGTTGATAATGACGATAACACAAAAGTAAACAAATATAATTAGGTATACGCATTCTATAATTAACTAGCAGTTACCCGCGACTTCGTTCGCGTGAAATTATTCATATTTCTTGTTAATTTATACTTTTTTGACGCGACAACGTGTTGAATGGCTAGGCGTATTTGAGAGCTACTATGAAACGGAACGTTTATTGTCTACTCAAGATGGCGACTGCGGTTTGTCTGTCAGTGTCATTAAAATGAATTAATAAAACGAAATAATCTCCGTAATTCGAATTTTGCGGATATAAGTTGTCAACTCGAAATCGATATTTTTTTTATAAAACATAAATCGTTATTCAGGTAATGTTTCGATCGAGTCTACCGTACCCCTTGACGAAATTATTAATATAGAAGATAATAAGGTAGGGAGAATGTCTCTCCCTATATATCCTTCCTTTGCCCTACTAATTTCAAACATCGGAGCAGAGTGATACTTCTGTATGTCCTTTACGACATTACTTTATCCTCGTCACACGAAGCTAAGTTTCTTGCGGTAAAGGACAGCTTGATATTTACTGGCGAATATAATATGGCGGCCGTGAATTATGTACGGAACTTCGTTGGCGTTTGAAGAATACTAATATTGTACGTAACATATTGATAGATTTAGGAAAAAGTTGTTTGTGTAGGTGTTTGTTGAGATTTTCGATATAGGACTCTTGTATGTTTGATAAATGTCAAATTAGTAAAAAGGTAATGAGAAATTGATTTAAGCTGTCTTATGCAAGAACTGATTAATATTAAATAAAAATTAGCTTGACTGCAAGTGCGACTGCCAGGAGGTCTCGGGTTCGATTCCTGGGTCGGGCAAAGAAATATACGTATTAATGGATTTATTGAAAAAAATCTCAGTAGTAGCACGGTGTCGGTAATTGTGCTCGGTATATGGCAATAGGCTCACTCCCTATCACATGGGACTCATAACATAAATAGTGAAACGTGGGTGTTACACTGTACAGTGGCATTGAGTGCCGTAATGTGCACATCTGCCTACCCCTTCGGGGATAAAAGGCATGATGTTATGATGTTATATTATAGATCAGCATGTTTTAAAAAATCAGAAGATGTCTGAACTTACAACAGACAAGTCGATCTAAATTATTACCTACATTTATTCAGTCCTTATTTGCCATCAAACCATTTTAACAAAATAGACAGAGTACTTTATATAGGTACTCTAAAACACGAAGGTGCTAAAACTTAGTATCAAAACAACGTGAAGAAGATACGTTTATTCATAATATATTAAACTAGAGATAATCCGCTTCCCGTGATCCGCTTAGCAGTTAGCAGCCACGAAATAGATCGCGATCATAAAATACTGCGAAATAAACAAAAACGACACAATGGGACGCTTGGATTTAATTCGATATAGCTATTGTTATATGCGAAAACAATTTATACATGGATTACCTTTTGATTCCTCCTCATTGCTCGAGTGGTCGCAAGTGCGACTGCCGGGCAATGGGTGTCGGGTTTGATTCAGAGATCGGGTAATGCATTACTGAGCTTTTTTAAAAAAAATCTCAGTAGTAGCACGGAGTCTGGAAATGTGCCGGTATATGGCAATAGGCTTACCATTTATTACATGGGACTCATAACATAAATAGTGAAAAGTGGGTGTTAAACTGTACAGTGTTCAGTGGCATAAGTACCGTTAATGTGCACCTCTGTCTACCCTTTTGGGGATAAAAGGCGTAATATTATGATACTTATTGATATACTACCTCTAAATAAAGAATTTTCCACATAAATGAATTAAATTTGTAATCGACATCTAAAAACTAATATAAAGTCCTCTATTAAAGAAAATGTAAATGTGACAAGCAGTTTTTCCTAGCTATATTTATAAACCCCATGTAATAGGGTCTCATCATCATCATCATCATCAACAGCCTATAAATGCCCACTGCTGAGCAAAGCCTCTTCTCACACGGAGAAGGTTAGAGCATTAATCACCACGCTTGCTCAATGCGGGTTGGCGATTTCAAACTTATAATTAGAAATTATAAGTCCAGGTTTCCTCACGATGTTTTTCCTTCACCGTTTGTCAGTGGTGTCTAAATAATCTCAGAAAGTACATATAACTCGGAAAAAGTCACATTGGTACTTGCCGTTGGTAGGTTTCGAACCCGCACCCTCATGCATGAGAAGTGGGCGTCTTAAACCTCCGGGCCAATAGTGTGTAATAGGGTCTGAATTTATATAAACTGAGCGATTGCTGATAATTTCACAAAAATCAAAAGCTGAATATTTCTTCGCAAAAACTGACAATGGAACCAGCAGCTGTAGCCAAATGCCACTTAGCGTTTGTCTACGTGTAGAATAGAAAACGAAATTATATGGGATTGACATAAATTTTGACACTTGTCAGAGTCATCCCCATACATTTAGTTTTCTCTCTCTGGTGCTAAAGTGGCATTTGGCTAAAAGCACAGAGAGATCTTTGATGCTTATTGATCCACTAATCTAAGGATAATATGCTTTTCCAGAAAAAGTTTGTTGCGAAGAAAATGTAACTATTGACGTAATGCAAGCTAATCGCAAATCGACATGTTCTTGCTAAATATTTCATACAAATAGACTTAGCAACAAGTGAGTTTACCTTGCAGGGTTACTGAGAAATTGTGAGGTAATAAGTGGGTACTACTAGTAGTTTGAACTTCCAGTAACTGCAGTTCATTATAAATTCTTCATTTATGATTCTTAGTAAACTGTCTTTGTTCGTATAATCAAAGATATTGACAAATAGAGAGCGTTTAGCGAAATTGCATTAGGTAATACCTACCTATGTTCGTTTTATGAACATAATTTTATTAATTTCACGTCTTTAATCCTACCATGTTTTGTGCAAATAACTGATTTGATTTGATTTGATTTGAATCCCCGAAGGAGTAGGCAGAGGTGCAAATTACGGCACTTAATGCCACTGTACAATTTAACACACACTTTTTACTATTTATGTTGTGAGTCCCATGTAATAGGGGGTGAGCCTATCGCCATATACCGGGCTCATTTCCAGATTCCGTGCTACCACTGAGATTTTATGAAAAAACCCGTAATACTTTGCCCGACCTGGGAATCAAACCCGAGACCCTTGCCCGGCTGTCACACTTGCGACCACTCGGCCAACGAGGCAGTTCGTTTTATGACTCATAGTACCTATAAACTACAATACTAGTCAATTGTCAAAGGTATCGATATGTTTATCGATCGATTATTTCCTCTATCATGAAAGAAACGTCAACTAAATACTTTACTTTTTTCCTAAACATTGCTAATAAATTAATTAACCTACGACTTTTATTCCTGCGCTGCGTGAGTAATAAACAAATTAATTGATTGCCCATGAACTTGTAATTAATAAATTATTTACTTATACCAACAAAACACTACCATACTGCCTACCTATAAGCGTGAACTTTCAAAAGTTACATAAAATGATGGATATTTATGTTTGTTTGTCCCAAATATTCTGTTACCGGTATTACGAGTCTTGAAATTGGCCTGGATCCAAAAGCAGTTTACTTGTTCAAACGATGTAAACTTTGACGATTATTAACTCTACTTCCACACAACATAATGTAACAATGATTGGTACACAATAGACTGCACACACTCCAATAACTACAAAATATCAACTCGACAGAAAGACATTTCCTACGATTCCGGCCCGCTGTATTCACCTCGCATTAGTTAATCCTACCATGCGACCGTTCGTGTTCATTTTAAAGAGGAAATAAAACAAACTAAACAACCGAGCCAAACAGGAGACGTTTGAATATAGCCGGGTATAATCTTGGCGTGGTACAGTGAACTAATTACTGCGAGAGACTCCGCGTGAGAGCAGTGTGCACGCATACGGCAACCCTTTAGTGCGACAGAGACGGAAGTGGGCAGTTTTCCAAGATGAATTTGATGTTTCGGAAGAACTTCAGCGGGGAGAAAACCGTCTCGTCGAGCGGGGGTGGGGGGAAGGCGCGGGGCGCGCTAGGTGCAGGGAGGAACGCCAAGCGCCGCGACCGCGAGCGATACTCCTGCATGGAGGAACACCACTACAAGACCCACATATTCTTCTCAGCTGCACCTCGGGCCAGTGCGCAGTACAACGACCTCACAGGTAAACGTACGTGCCCAGTGACTGTGAACCGCCGAACTTATCTCGTGTTTGTGCCTAAACTTTCTTAACAACTTTTCAACTTTAAGTGCTGACTCCGTGCAGGGCACACGAGTCCAGTAATTTTGTGAAGTTTGCAGTGACCTCGATAATTTATGTTAAAACACGGCACACATGAAACTGTCCAACTATAAATACATTATTTGACAGGTGACGCAGTGTTTAGACACGAGTTCATTACACACGCTACTAAAACAGGCAGTTAACAACGTAACAAGTGCTTCTAATGTAAACAAACCACTTGAGTCTAAGCTATATGTTGCAACTTTGCTTAAATCTCCAGTTGGGTGGAACTAGTGTAAATCGGTTCAAACTGGTTCAGTTTTGGCGCTAAACACCAAACATCCCGAGGTTACTTCCCGCGTAAGTGTTATGAGACGTATATCATACAGTATTATAATTGGCACGATTTAATCGACTCTGTACATTACTAACCTTTGAGGGATTAATCATTTGAATCGTTTGAAGATCATCAATATAATGTCAAAACGTAAAGGTACAAAGTTATTTTGTGTCTAACTTTATTAGTGTGTAGACCTGTGTTAGTTCTAGATGTTTGATAGCCAAGTATGTATTGATAGCCTACCTGTACATGTACATAGCTGTAAGATTTTACCTCGACCTTTAATTTTTGTTAACAATAAGTTAACAAAACCGGCCATGCTTTAACTATAGGTCGTATAGTAACTTAATACTTAGAATCATGGATTCTTAGCTATAGATACCTATCTAATCAGTTTCTGGTATAGTGGTGTTGTTAGAATGGCAATATGCGAAATTATTCGACTGTGTCTATGTACATACATACGCTTGCGCAAACTTACTAAACAACTTATATTCCTGGATAAACATAAATGGACTAACTATGAACCCCAAGAAGTCACTTAAAGTACGCAGACTTAAATACATAACGTAAAGTGTAAAGAACTTTCTCTTCTTCCAACTTTGGGCTGAAGAGTATCTACAATAAAATTTTACTCAAAAAATCTAACAAATCAATTAGAAAAAGCATTTAAGGCAGATTAACTCCTTCAAAAACTAATATAACCTTTCAAATGTCCACAGAACGATGCGGGCCTGTAATAGGCGGTGGTACAGGGCCGGACCCCGAACCGCCGCAGCCCCTGGTGACGAGGGAGCCCTCTGTGTCCCTCCTACGATGGGACAGGGGCCCGGTGACCACTACCACTGTCCCGACCACCACGGACCGGCGCCGGACGGAACCCGTCTCTCTCGCCACGCTACAGAAAGACTGTTTCGTTATCCCGGCACACGCGCTTGATCGGTTTCTGCCTGATGGGGTACCGGTGAGTGTCTATTTGGTTATTTGACAACTTTTTTATTGTAATACAGCTGTAAAACTGCGGAATCACTACACAAAAATTTTTGAGTCATCATTCCTCAAACATAAAAAATATCAACTTAGATAAAAGCCACTAGACCTACCTACTTAGCGATCTACATCTTTCAATAATACAGCTCAAAGCACTGACTAAAGTACTTTTCTTATAAAAGATCGAATTTTACAGAATAAACCAAAAGCTATCGCTAACACAATTTGAACACCATCTTGATAGTACAATTTATCATAATTAGCAGTGATAGGTACTATAGCGGGCGCCATTTATGTAGTTGATAGCTATCCTTAACCGACCCAAGAATTAGACGGCTAGACAAGAATATAATTCTCGTGGACAGTTACAAATCGTAACCAATTATTTTTATTGTCTCAACGAAGTAAAGACTTTCTTGCTAAACGTATTGTACAGCTAAGGTATTTTCTAATTAAAAAGTGAAAAAGTACGACTTTTAAATATTCCTCTTTTGTATTTCAGCTTCCAGTTCCGCCTCCAACGCCAGAAAAAGGAATGACAACAAAGACTGCACAAAACTCCCTTAGCATCCTTGAAATAGCTGACCCCAAACTTTGTATATTGGCCCACCTGATGAGTCCGTTGGAGCCAATAGAGCCAATATTGGAATCCCCGCTTGCCAAACCTTTGATAAGACAGAAATCTGCGGCGGCAGAACTTTTGAACGAAGTAGCACAGGCCAATACTGCTGTAGGAGGGATGTTATTAGCGAATATGGAGAAGAATGCAGAATTCCCATTCATATCTTATTATGTGATAAATACAACGCAAACAGACCCTTTGTTGTTCTACAATAACATGAGATGTGCTTCCTTGAACAAGTTTGATCCGAAGACGATACGGTACTCGGCAGCGCATACACTAGACCTGTATAGTGAAGTGGCGATGATCTGCAGACCTCCGTTCAATGATTTAGCTGGTGGACCGAAGAAGTCACACACGCCTACAACTGGATTCATCATTAGTGTTTATAAGGTACGTAATAATTTTCCTCAGTTTATAATACCTAATTGTATCTCAAAACACTGGTGATTTAAATCCATTTTGTAACTATACCCCAGCATAAAAATTCTAACCGTTTTTTTTTGTATTATTTAACTTCATTTTCCACACCATTTAAAAACTCAACGTCTTTTTGCAGGTATTTGAAGGCGACGATGGTGAGCGCTTTGAAAGAAATTGGCTATACTGGACGGGGGCACGAATGCTGTACCGGCACCTGCCTCACACGGTGGGCATGAGGAAGATAGCGTTACACAAGTCTGTGGCTGCCCACGGAGACAAGATGTATCTGTTAGTGTGCGAGTGTGCCAACTTAATGGACGATCTGTCAGGGGCCGCGATGCTAGTGACAGCACTGAGAGCGCGCCTGTGTGGGTACACCGGCCTATACAGGCCTATACAGACTTTCTAGTAAAGGGACGTAGGCCTAGACGGCCTTGAGTGTGTTGTTTTCAATTTTGCGGACATCAATAGTTTAGTGTAGGTTAGTTCTGTTGGGTTATGAATTTGGAATATAAACATCACTACAAAAGAAACTTTTCGCGTCTTTAGTGGCGCTAGCGTAGCATATGGTGTCTTGACGCACATAAGGTATATGCGTCAAGACGCCATACCAGCGCAACCCGCCACCTTAAACAACCGACTAAAAAATATTAATTGAACAATAAAACAAGTAATAAGAGTAACAAAGGATGAAAAATAACAAATTCATGACCTAACTCAAAATTGGATCTCTATTTAGTCGATCTAGATGTCCCAGCAAAATCGGTCATAAACAGCACACGTGAACAAACGGACCAAAGTATTAATATTACATTTAAGGTTATCTTAAATGGTGTACAATATTTGACTGGGTACAGGCGAGTCGAGCCGAAGTGTTCTTGATCTAGATATAAGAAATTTTAATCATAAAACGAGTGATTTTCCTCTGTAGACGCCATTTTTCTCGATTTCTCACTATACTTTTGAGTCTTTTGATATGATCTACTAACGCGAATCACCTCACTCTTAACAGTTTTGTAGATGATAAAAGATATTTAATAATGATAGAATTCGATAATATTTTGTTATAATTGGGTGAAGTCTTCCATAGAACGGTGTACGAACCCAATAATTACATGTTCGATTGATACCGAGATTTAGTATAGGATGTTAAACAGCTCAAATAACCCCTTTTCTATTTTTGCCTAAAGTCTTTTGAAAGAAAATTATTTTTCGACTTTTCCAATTTTCTGACATATCTCGAGATACATATCACTAATCTCACAAGTTCAATCGAATCGAAAATAAATATTTAAATCCATTGCCTATCTATGTACCTACTCCGATTTCACTATTTCATAATAAAAGAATCTTGATTAAACTTAGGAATAAAAAAAAATTGTGATGCTCACAAAAAGTAAAATAGTTTGCCTTAAAATTGACAAAACCGTTGCTATTTTAGAAACGCACAAAATTATTATATGCTTAATTCTGAATAGGACAAACATAAATAATAATACAGATACGTATTCAGTAAGAGCATTTATTTAAAAATAGTTATGGATACAATCGATTAAATAATGTCACTTAATATAGACGTGACGTACCTACATATTATAATTTCATGAGAAATACACTTTTTACTACCAATTTTCATTCATTTTCATCTGAAATTACCTGTTTAAATACTTCTTAAAACCTACCTGTGTTTAATTAAATAATACTGTAATTCTACGTATTCATAGACTAACCAAAATATGTACTTCATTTAAATTAATGCTATTAGCTTTGTGCACTGATCAAGTTAGGTTTACATGACAACAGGATTACCTAATTAAATCCTAATTCTTGAATCTAATAAAGAGTGATACCAGCCGTTCTTTATTTGAGGTAAATTGTCCCATTCTGTAAACCCAGCTTAACTCAATAACTATAATAATATTAATATTTCTGCTATTTTTCGAAACTTAAAAAACATGACCAACGAGCCTAACCTAATATTGTGATTCATTATAATAATAAATTAAAGAATACTTATAATAATATCCACAAAGTGTAAACATAGTATTGGCTTGAGAAGCATCAATATATATTTTATCATAAGATTTTATAATAGAAAATTAATAACTTGAAATTAAACATATGCTTTTTAACGTTACATGGCTTGTTTTGATTGTAATGTTAACAAAATGGATATTTCGATTGTAACCTACTAATTATTGTATTTATTTTCTATTTAATCAAAGGGCTATATCAGTGCTTACCTTGTCTAACAGTCTAAGTTATTAGAGTTTTTTCTACCTTCTTGAGATCGTATCTATCCTGGATAAATCACAGAACCCTTCCTTCCATAAACTTGTAAAAATATCAAAATGTTAGCATTAATATTAGTATCAAATACCTACATACTACACAGTCCTTTAGGGAGTTACAAAGCGTCTACAAGAATCTACGTTAATGCACTTATAAAATATGGCCATTATTTTTTTTTCCTTTTTGGCAACCGAGTCTCCAAAACGAAGTTGTCAACTATACTGCCAGTGTCGAGTGGTGACGGCAGATTAATGAACCGTCGAACTTAACTTTGCGGTAGTTTTTAGTTGTATATGGCCATTTGAGGCCTATGTTCAGATGTTCATTTTGACATGTTTCAAGTCAAAATTTATTGTTAAGTTACCAATAGCCATTAATCATGAGAACAGAGTTTAAAAAATCTTAAGAATAGAGAGTAAAAAGGTAATTAAAACTTACAATTACCTACAGGTCTTTTTGTATAAAACTTTGGTTTTGATTCAGCAATCAGTTGACATTAAGTACTTCGAAATGCGTAAAGTTCGTATCGATTAAAAAGGTTTCCTTTTGATATGGTTCAGTTCACACAAGATTACTTTAGCAATGGTGCTAATTATAGTCAATTTGTAGTTAGCAAAACAAAGCTTGCAAGTTTGGAAAATAAAATACAATTAACACTATATTCAATCAGTTGTTTTAGTAATTACTTACTTAGCTAAATTTAGAAACTTAAACAATTGACCTAACATAGTTTTTGCCAACATAACAATTTTAAATAAAAACGTTTTTAGATTTCGATAACACCAAATCATTAGAAGTATTTCATTTTAGAGTATTATAGTTAGACATTAATGCAATTTTATAAGGCTTAATAATGTTATTTATTAATAATAATTATTAGATTAACTATAAGGAGTTGAAACATTTGGGTTGTGTGGTACCAAAAATCTAACTTTTGCAATTATGTAATGGAGATGTTCTTGATAGAATGTTATAGGCATATTATACAGTACCAAATACATCCCTGTTCAAATAATATTTTTAAATGACTTAAGCTTGTATTATCTACTTGAATTGTTAAGCATCTCAGCTTGTGTAAATTACAGGCGAGTGGGTCATGAACCCCCTTTATTTACTTTTACAAAGTGTTATTTCATTTTAGTCAATCCACCTAACATGTTTTTGCTAATTTTATTGTAAAAATGTCCACTCGCTTTTAAAATGTTTAAACATTTATCATGACACAAAGTGAATTAATCGAAACAATAATAAACACTGGATTTGTTATTTTCAATAATTGTGAAATTGTAATTATGTATGAAACCATGTATTATTGTATGAAAGCAATTTAAAATAATTACTGTTTGGCTTGAAAAGCTAGTTATGAGTGCAGGCTAAGCTCTGTAGAATATATAGAAAATTTAATTAAATTTCAATTATTTTTATAATAAAATATGAAATTTACGGTCTCTGCCTTTCATTCCATTAGTATTAAAACCCTAGTCGCTATAATGCAACCTATGGGTCTGTAATTTCGAAAAGTTTTATTATAATGCTTATATAACTGCTTAATCCCCAAGCAGTCACCACTCTCAACTAACTCCATTATAGACCTTATTACCGATGTTTAGAGACTACTTTGTATGAACAAAGTTTCAGTACAATATATTAACGTAATAACAAGCACACCTTTTAAACCAAACCATTGGGTATTTAAATTTAAAAAAGTCTTTCTCTAAAAGCCCATAAAGTTAAGTAATTCATCAAAATAACCAAATTCCAAATGAATACTTAATAACTAATAGGTAATCTGTCACAAATTGCCCGAACAATGGCTTGACATAAGCATATATTATATCAATAAAGGCTAATAGACCTAGAGCTACATTAGAGGTATTAGCTTCTAGTGGCCTGAAAATTCTCATCAATAACACAATAAGATTAATGTCCAACGCATAAAAATCATAAAATAAAAACATTAAAAAGTAACAATTACAATTTATTAAACAAAATATATCAATACTTTATACATTAAATTAAAACAAACTAAGTTTTTCTAAGTAAGGCCTAAGAAAATGTACTTTTAGTACCCCTTGTGTCCCCGAAACCGTCTCCTGTTGTCCAACTGAAAACAATAAATGAGTTTTGATCAAACTTCTATTTCTACTACACCTTATGTAGAACCATTGTTCTATAAAAATTTTTTCTTAATTATTTTCTTATTAAGAGCATTGAAAAGGATATTTCCCAATTGTTTCCAATAAATTTGTATAATTCTTAATTGATAAATGAGAATTAAGTAACTTACCAGTGACCTCTTACATTCGAAGAAACTCTGCCTAAGTTGTATACATTCTTCGGGGATGTTACCTTCTTTGAGACATTCTCGAGGAGTTTTCTTCTCCTAGAACCAAATATAACAATTAATTTTGTTAATTACAAGTGCAGTATACAATAAAACAGTTTAAAGACAGATACATTGAGACAATGTCTTTGTATTGAAATACAAAGATGTATGTTTATTTTTAAAAAGTATATCCAAGGCAAATGTTGAAATTACCCATATCATTGTTATATTTCGTCATGAAAACAATTAAACCGAAAATATTCCTGTAGGAAATTATTTTTATAAAAGTCTGTCAATAACTTTTCATTTAAAATATTAAGATTTATGAAGTGCAAAATACTAACCTTTTTGCAGCAGTCGCTTGCAAGCAAACATATCTTGAGATCAGCTCTGATGCCCGCACATGGCGATTTGTCAGCTAGGCCGACTTCATCCGGAGCATACGTAACCATTTTGAGTTTAAATTGAAGTAATATTCACAGAGAAATTAATTCAAGACGCTCAGGCTTATCAATATCAATAGCTTTCAGTCGGTTTCGTCTGTCAGGAGTGTCAGGACAGGACTGTCAGGTCAGTGTCAGTTGTCAGTGTTAGTCAGTCAGCTGACAGCTAAAAATAATAAATGATTTTCAAAAAAAGCCGAAAGCCGAAAGCTGGAGATTCAGCTGGAAAATAATATGATTTTCTTAAATTCTGTATTTTTATTTTTACGGGAAGTTATGTTAAAATTATATTCCATTAGTGAAATATTAAAAAGTGAATGGCACATTTATTAATTTTTTATCATAACCTATTCATTATGACGATTTTTACAAATAGTTAAGTTTAATGATTGTTTATTCACTCATAAAGGACATGGTTCACTTACAATGAGCTTAAATGACTGATGATTGAATTAATCAGAATAAATACAACAATTCGCTTTGTAGTCAACGTAAAATGAAACGTTTGTGTCAAATCTGACATTTCTGATAAGAACATGTTGTTGACATTTTGACAGTTCATTTTGTTCATTGTTCATTTCATTGATATCATTATCAGCTGTTGTTAGATTGAGTTCAGTGCCCATTGCCCCCAGTGGTTTACTATTTCGTGTCCATGAACTTTACGGCCAATTAAAAATGAGGAAAGTGTTCCCGGTTATTTCTAGAAGACTTTCACACGTGTGTAGTTTAAAACCGTATAAAGAGACGAAATGGCTGATGCCAAATGGAAATCCAACGGGTGCATATATTTACAACTGTGTTGCGGACCAGAAAGTTCCAGTAATACTTAACGACCCTCACATAGCCACCTGGTACTCGTGCGGCCCTACAGTGTACGACTCGGCTCACATCGGACATGCGAGCTGCTATGTGAAACTCGACATCATTCAACGAATTATAAAATCATTTTTGAACATCAAACTTGTGACTGCAATGGGAATTACGGATATCGACGACAAAATCATCAAAAAAGGTTTAGAAACTAAGACGCACTTTCAAAATATCGCCAAACAATATGAGCACGAGTTCTGGCTTGACATGTCTTCACTGAATATTGAGAAACCTTTAATAATAACAAGAGTGTCAGAACACATCAACTCCATTGAAAGTTTTGTACAGAAACTTATTGACTCAGAGATGGCTTACGTCACAATGGATGGTTCTGTTTACTTTGACACAACTAAATATCCATCTTATGGGAAATTACAAAGAGCACAAACTGAAGGAGAAGCAGCTAATGAAGAGAAAAGGAACAAAACTGATTTTGCTCTGTGGAAAGGCCATAAACCTGATGAGCCTTCATGGAATGTGAAATGGGGGAAAGGCAGGCCAGGGTGGCACATAGAGTGCTCAGCTATGGTCAGTAAGGTGTTTGGTTCTCAAATAGACTTCCATGCTGGTGGTATAGATCTTCAGTTCCCCCACCATGAGAATGAGGAGGCTCAGTCATGTGCATACCACAACACTAGACAATGGGCCAACTATTGGATCCATGTTGGCCACTTACATGTAAAGGGTGATACTAAAATGTCTAAATCTCTAAAAAACACTATATCAATACCTGAGCTGTTGAAATCCCACAGTGCAGATGTGTTCAGGATGGCTTGTCTGACATCCAGTTACCGGTACCCAATGGAATATAGTCCAGAAGTAATGAAAACAGCAGAAGAAGTCCTAAACAAATTCAAATTCTTCTTAAAAGATGCATTTATTTATGTCAATAACAATGCAGTGAGCAATGGGGATTATAAAGATAAGATTCTAGATGATCTACAGAAAATTGAGGAGGCTAACATTGAGGCTTTGAAAAATGATTTTAATACTGCTGTTTGTATAAATAATCTGCTTACTTTAGTGAGTAATGCTAACAAAGTGATTAGGTTAGACACTTCAGACTACTACCCGGTACCTATTGTGTTAATAGCGGAATATGTAACTGACATGTTGACAAAATTTGGACTAAAACTGCAAGAGTCTGCACAAGACAGTGTATTGTCAAACTCTCTAATAGATACTCTTGTTGAATTCAGACATACTGTGAGATTAAATGCCCTCTCTAGGAAAGATAAGGAGGTACTACAAGCATGTGATATTGTTAGGGATAAAATGAAGAAAATGAAAGTACAAATCAATGATAGCAATAAAACCTCTTCTTGGGTTTCTGTAAAATAACTCGTGAAGTAAGGTTATTACAATACATAATGTAAAATTTTGTGATAACATAAAATCAAATCAACTATGATATTTCCTCTAACTTATAATAAGTTTTCTGTCACTACCTACACTATTAGTTTTATTGTAATCATTTGTTATTGTATTTTTCCAATCCATTATGAGATTAGAACATGTCCACAAATAAAGCAATAATATGCCCTGACCTTAATTTTATCAAATGATTTTACTACAGGGCTTTACTCTATCAGTACTACACTGAAATCAATAATGTTCTAAATATAGTGTAGTGTAAATTGTGTAAATAATAAACTAACAAATAGTACATGTTAAGATATTGAAATAAAAGTATATCTCCACTGTTCATTAAAGTTTTTATTATCATAATTTACTTACATTCAAGTCCATGACTAGACTATGATGAAATGAGATTTCCAGGGTCTATGTCACAAGTATAGAATACAAACTAAAAAAAGAAAAGTTTTAATTGCAAGTACGATATATTGTTCAGGATTCACATTTTGTGTCATCTTGTTTTTGGTATAATTTTGACAATTATTATATGATTTTTACATTTTGTTAATGAGGAAACAATCATTTTCTATGCTCACGATCACCAGAGACAGCGGGTGAATTCTAAACATAGCAATGGTCTAATCACCATCAGTCTTATAATAATTTCACATATATATTACTTTGTTCAAAAAACCGATTCCTTATAAATACATGAGCGCAGTTTTAAACAAACATTAAGTACAATTGACACAACAATTAGAAATTCAACAAGATATAGATTTTAGTACTACAAGCTTCGTTATATTGAGTTCGGAAATCCACTATGGAATGTTAACTGACCATTGGCAACACTATGCCCAATCCAAGAACGTCGAAAAGAAGGCGGACATAATGTCACTTGGAAATGATTGAAGCACCATTTGTCAGTGTTTTTTATGTGTATGTTTTACATTATCAGGCTTAACGCATTCACTGCCCAGTGGATTTTCTCCAGTGCCCGAATTATAAGACATTCTACAGTGCCCCGCACGCACTATTGCGTTCAATGTTTGCCCTTTTCGTGTGCCGGAAACTCATATACGCGTTCTTACGGCTCTCACCGTGTGCCCGAAACTCGTATATGCGTCCGTTCGACTCTCGGCGGGTGCCCGCGACGCGTCTGTGCGTTTGTTATATACTTACAGAAATACGATAGAATATTATGTATCTGTAGATAAAAGTTAGGGTGATGACACACTGCAATGGAATTTATGATTCCAAAAGATAATTTATGTAGAGAAATTGAAAAATTTATCCAATCTTTCAGACTTCAAAAAATTTAGTTTCTTAGTTTGACCTGTATGTATGTTTGTACGCGATTGTCTCGCGATTGATTGAACCGATTTTAATGACGTTTTTAGAAAAGCTTTTGTTATACTTAGGGAAAAGGTATATTAATAAGTTTAGGTTTCTTGGAAAAACAATTAGGTATCTAGGTAGATTTTGGTTTTAGCTCTCGTGGTATTTAAAATCTTCAAAGGCACCGCCGTGCATTGTATTGCCGTTATCAGCAAACTAATGTGATTCTATTGTGCGTATGTAGATACGAGTCATATGAAAGTTTAGGTTTCTTGGAAAAAGATGAGATAATCGAGATAACATTAAAAAAAAAATACCACCCACGGTGATCGTAGTCTTACGTGGATAAAAAAGATAAATTATATTTTTTCTAAATTGTTCTATATTTATATTTCGAAACGGCTAAACAAAATTTGTTGATTATTGCATTGGTAGTAGTAGAATAAGTTTTTTTATAATTCGTATGTAGTGTGTAATGACCTTTATCAAAGAAATCAGATAAGGAAGTACATATGTGTAAATATGGGTTTCGAAACAATAGACCCTCGGACGCGTCGACGGGCAGCAGGTAAAAAAAGGGTCAAATGAATAGAACGCATATTTGAGTCGCGGGCACATAGCGTCGTGTCACAAAACGCACAGACGCGTCATGGGCACTGAATGCGTTAAGAGAGATGTTCTTTGTGTCAATGTGTTTATGTTCTGCGTGAACTCTACAGTAGCCAGGTGCCACAGTCGTTGTTTTAAGAGATTGTGTCCGCCTTTCTTTCAACATCCTTGGCCCAATCTCTAAACAATATATTGCATCTTACCTATTTACTGAAAACTTTTTGCTAACTAAAGAGGTTCGCTTACGAAGAAATTCTTCTTACACAAATAAACATTCAAATATCACATAGAGAAAAACAATAAAAAAAGAAACCTTTGGTACTTATAAGATTAAATCTTATTCAATAAGTGAAACTGTGGAAGACTGTGGAGAATATTAGCAGAAATAAATACATTATTTAATCAGTAAAAAATTGGGCATTAGTGAGTCCAAACATTACCCTTTTAAACCTCACGACTAGTATAACATAATTACCGAATCTACCGACTATAACTATTTCTGCAAATCGATACTACATACATACACAAAATTCATACAAAAACAATACAACGAAGCTGGCAACACAGAGGAAACAAATTTTGTGCGCGGGAAACATTCAATCTTAGGAATATAGATTATCACTTAGTTGGGCACAGAATGTAAGGTGCCATTTTTATCCTGTATCATATTTTCTGCTTTATAGACTTTCCAGGCAACTAGATAGTCGCGGACCATTTTAAACAGTGTGTAATAGTTTATGAAGAGTAATATGACTATAGCTAGGAAGTTGTGCCATTGTATAGAACTGAATAGTAGACACAGCTGTAGTATTATTAGCGACAGCTGTAGGCATAACATGGCGCAGAGTAATAGTGAGGGGTTCGCGAACACTGTCTGGAAAAAAAGATTATAAAATTAATTTTATCCCTAAATTGGACCAAGTATGGGGTTTTCTCAAAATTTTCAGTAATTGGGTTAAGTGGATTATGGGTTACTCTTGATACCAATTACAATGTCAATGCAATTTCAATTCTATAAAGTCTCAATAATTATTCAATGTCAAAACTATAAAACCCCTATCGTAGCTGTTAAAATAGCATTCAGAGTAAGGAATATAAAGCCGAATTCAATACCATTTACTTCATTCAATATCCACGCAATACGGATACAATGGGCGCTAGTGTTTCAACTCAAGAGTCCAAAATTTTACAATACCAACGTCAATCTATCGATTCTATCGCTAATTACTCTTGAAATCACTTATGTCATTTATTTTATACAGCACTGTCATTTTTTCATTTCAACATAGTGCAGCTGAGGGTAGGATATTATACCACTGAGATAGACCTCCAGAACTGTCGCATGCGCGTTACTGACGCTGGAAAACCTATTAACTTATTTCTTTGGAACCCTATTCAATACTTGATCCTTTATAAAAATCTTGGCAGCTTCACAAACTGATTATATATTTAAAAAGTATCCAATACTTACATAGAAGCGAGTATGCGCGACAGTGGCCGGGTCTGCGGCGACGGCGGGCGCGGCCGCCACGTACACGCGGCCGCCGCACGACACGCGCGCGCCGCGGGACCACATGCGCTCCGCGGACCACGCCTGGATCTCATTGCCTTCTGTACAGATATAGAGGGGTGGGTTAATTTAGATTTTGGTGTTCACCATCTACAATACATATCTTATTATGAGTTAAAGTGCGAATGAGCAGACAAGTCGCCTAATAGTACCTTACTTAGGTACTATTAGAGCCGCATATAGACCTCAAAGAAATAAGTTGCGTTGATATTCTACAGACTATCTCTTTTGAATTTCATCATCCTCTACCTTTTCAACCATCAACATCTTACCTCTGCCGGCAGTGGGAAAGAAAACGCCTCAGTTAAGATAAGATATAATAAAATCTTATACTTATTATGCATAATACGAAACCCTGAACCCCATAAAACGTTTATTATACTTCATTATATAAAATATCACGGAGCTGAGCAGACCGGGTGACAGGGCGGGAGGAGCTAGCGGTAATATAAAACTGACCTGTACAAGAATTATGATCAGGTTTCCACCGTCCGAGATGTAGCGCGGACCGGTGCGGCACGTCGCAGTACGTCGCACTGACGAGCTGGCTCACGTACCGAGCGAATAGACCCGCCCATACAAACGCGGTCTGTTGCGACGCTGCGTATACCTCGTAGTAGAGATATGGCTGGAAATGTAAGAAGGTTATTATTATTAAAGACAGGTTTAAATTGCCTTAGGGCTCCCTCTCGCCTAACCCCAGGCGGGAGAAGTCATTGGATGAATATCCTTCCTCAAAAAAAAAAAAAACAAATTGCCTGAGGGACGTAGTTTGATAGTTGCATAGACTTTGGACTATAGTTGGCGACTCTGGATTGAACGCCGTTAGGTGAATACTTTACCGTGTTGTGTTAGTAGGACTAAATAAATAGTAATTGTAGTAGTTAGATGTAAAATCCTAGTATCCTTACTTATGTTTTAAATGCGCAAGTCACTCTCGCTTCTTTCCTTTATGAATTAAACTGTCAAACACCAAGCGGTCACCGGTGACCGCGACCTATTGTTCTTTAATTGTGTCTATAAAACCGGTACTCGACGAGTTAATATTGATAAAGGTCACTTACACCCGAATACTGAAAGGTTCAATTATTAGTTGTACTTAAATATCGTGCCATCTCTGTCATTTTACAGAGATTTTGTTGTGATAGAACTATACTTAAGGGTGACTTAAAATATTGAGTGCCGTTTGAGTTTGCTTTGGACATTAATTGCGCAGACGAAATGGCAACCGATAAATAAATATACATAAAATGTCTTTCTATAAATAGTCTGGTCAAATCATTACTGCTTTTTATCTTGCACGAAATGTATGACTTCCGTGGCGTGGGAACGATACCGTCGCCTACCGCAAAAAACAAAAGGGTCAGTGCTCCATTACTTGACCATGGATTAGGTGACAATTCGTTTACATAAACATAACATCACGCCTTTTATCCCCGAAGTGGTAGGCAGAGATGCACATTATACACTGTACGATGTATCACCCACTTTTCACTAATTATGTTATGAGTCCCATGTAATAGGGGGCGAGCCTATTGCCATATACCAGGCACAATTCCGGGCTCCGTGCAACTACTGAGAATTTTTTAAAAACCCAGTAATACCTACTTTGTCCGACCCGGGAATAGAACCCAAGACCCGTTGCCCGGAGTCGGCCAACGAGGATGTCAGACAATTCGTTTAATATTGTAAAATTCCATTTACAATATTAAACGAATAACTTCGGTGACTTAAGCTATACTAAATTAATCTTTACTAACCTGTGCAAAAGTGCAAGGTATAAAACTGGAGTAGTAAGCTCCAACAACGGAATTGAATATGATTTTCTTCATCCTGTCATTGAAATCTTGCCGTAACGCTTCCACTTCTGTCCGTATCTGTGCAGCGTCGTGTGTACAACAGTGTAGTGGAGGGTCGCTTGTGTTCAACTCTAGGAATGGAGCTGACTGGAAGCCGAATAGCAGGAAGTATATCACGGCCCTGGAACGGAGAACATTTTGTTATAATTCGCTGTTGGGACAATTGAGTATAAAGGCGTCTTGTTAAATCCCTATTTTAGATAAAAAAATGTAATTGAATTCTAATTTTGAAATGTTTTCGCCTAAAGTATTAATACATACTTTCACACTAAAATCCACTCTATACCTTTGTTCTATGGTTGATTTTTGTATGACACACAATGAATAAGACTGCAATTAGACAATGACATGCCTAGTATACTCACGGGTATAACAAATAGAATATTTTCACGACTGGGTACTTTAGCACGATGAAGTAGGTGCACCACGAGAGGGCGCCTAGCACCACACCCAATATGAACATCCTGAAATCGAGAATATTAATGATAACAAACAACTTTCTTCTCCGTTAAACCATTAAGAGTTCTATAAAGACAGCAATAAGTTCCATAATTACCTGGCAGCTATAGTAGCATGTGGCATCAATTTTGGTGCGAGGATACCTCTCAGTATTGCTAAACTGATACTTAGTAATAGTTTCCGGAATATTATTGTCACTATAAACGCCACCAAGTGAGGGTCGATCAAATAGAAATTCTGAAAACAAAAATATGACAACTTTAGAAACTGATTTTATACTTTACTGAGAATTTCTGATGTCATTGTTGATTTTAAATGTCACATGAGATCACTTCTACATACAAAACAAATAATATACCTACTGTTAGTTTTTTTTCAAATTCTCAGTAGTAGCACAGTCTGGAATTGTGCCCGATATATGGCAATAGGCTCACCCCCTATTACATGGGACTCCTAACATAAATAGTGAAAAGTGGGTGTTACATTGTACGGTGGCATTGAGCGCTGCAATGTGCACCTCTGTCTACCCCTTTGGGCGTAAAAGGCGCGATATTATGTTACTTTTACCATAATAATTTAGGTCAAATACTATATCGTCATATTGATTACATATTTAGAAACAGCCTTGAAGGCCTTATCATAATATCAATAGAGAACCTTAAATTAGATATATGTCCTTGTAACTTGTATAATAAATGACTCATACAAACATAGATAGTCATAAAGATTAAAGTCAAGATATTAGGTCATATCCTTACTAATATTATAAATCGGAAAGTGAGTTTGTTTGTTTGTTCCGCTTTCACGCCGTAACTACTAAATCGATTGCTTTGAATTTTTGCAGACGTAAAGTTAGAAGTCCGGATTAAATAATAGGGTACTTATTATCTCGGAAAAAAATTGATATTCCCGAGGGAAAACCAAAGTATTGGTATAGATGGCGCTGTGTGTATTGGTATATTATTATGTCACAGGCTATCGGCTTTTATCCTTTTGTGACGCGTGCGAAGCCGCGGGTAAAAGCTAGTTAGATAATAACTTAAAAATAGTTACATACATAGATACATACATACATAACATCACGCCTGTCTCCCATGGGGGTAGACAGAGACTATGGAACGCTAATTACTATGATTCCTACATACCTCACCCAAAAATAGTTTCTAAGTAATAAAAATGCATTTTGGTTTTCATTAACAGGCAAATGTTTTGCCAGCTTTGATTTTGTACAGAACATGATCTACATACCTATTATTGAAAAAAAAACTAAATAATAAATACATATTTTGCTTAAGATTATGTAATAAATAAAAGTAAAATGTAGAGGAGAGGGTAGACTGATAAATTAATAAATTAACCCTTTGAGTACCGTTATTATAGACACAATTAAAGAACAATGTGTGAGGACACGGTGTCCTCGCGGTGTTTGAGAGATTAAGAGCACAATTTGTTTCTATGCGTATAGGATAGTTTAACTGTTTAATTCCCAAGCGGTCACCACGGACCACTCTCCACTAACTCCATTATAGACCTTATTTCCGATATTTAGAGATTACTTTTATATGACCAAATTTGGGGTATGATATACCTATCAATATATTAATTTAATCCATGTTAGAAATACAAATACAGCAGTAGTGTAATTTCCCACATAAAATTCCTTCCTTCCTATATACATAATTATACTTATGTACTTATATTGGCATAAATCCACATTCATAGGTAATGAGAAAAAATATTGTAACAACAAAAATAATTAAATGATACACAAAACAGAGACAACACACAAAGGCAAACTACAGGGTGACTTCAACCTGTATATAAAAATGTGTGTAAATTTGTTGGTCCCTTATTGAAACTATTTGCTTGTTCCAAAGATGAAATTCCTTTAAACTGTCAAACACCAAGTGGTCACCGGTGACCGCAACCTATTGTTCTTTAATTGTGTCTATAAATACGGTACTAGACGAGTTAAACTATCCTATACTCATTTACATGGCAGGTTTCTCCATTGCAATATCTAGGCCTTAAAAAACTAAATCTATGTTATGTCCAATTATAATATCCCTTAGTGGATTTTGGTTGCTATTTTAAATGGATAATCCTGTACTTATTGTAAATACGATAAATAAATATAAAAAATAAATAAAAAAATATAGAAACAATATGACATGCTCTTAATTTGAATTTATCAATCTACCCTCTCTTGTAATTAACAATTCACATGAACTTACCATAGCCTGGTTTGTGTAAGAATGAGGTAACCACCAGGCTGTTCTGTATAGATTCAAGAACTGTAACCCAGTTGCCACAAGAGTGAAGACAAATGTCATAGCTTCAAAGAGCAGGTTGCCATCTTGTGGTATGTAGGGGAAGGGGATGTGTTTTGGTGCTACTGGCACATCTGCCAGCTTCACTTCTGAGACAGCATTTGGAGAAGGTGTGGGAGCAGCTCTTGAAGATCGAATCTTCTTGCCACTGCCATTTATTTCCTCATCGGCAACTGCAAATGCACCCTGCAATGTATCAGTAAATTGTTACTATTGGAAAATTTACATTATTATTGTATTTTTTATATGAAATTATTGATTTATGATTCAATACAAGGATTTTGTATTCATTACAATAACTAAACATTAATTAACAAAAAATAGTTATCTACTACCTACCTACCTTCTCAATTTAGTATTAACAAGATTATGTAGACTATTAAAGAAGACCAAGATAATGATGAAAATGTAAGTCAATTATCTGGCTGCAGGACCTAACAGATGGATACTCGACCTTACCTTCTTATTTACACCAGAAGTTTTTTTAGATCCGGGTGGCATCATTTTACTTGTTATCTGCGGCAGGGGCCGCTTGATAAGCGGGTCTTTAATGATTTTTCGCCGCCTAGAGACGGCTGTAGACGAAGTATTGCTAACTTGGGAGTTCGCCCAGCGTCTAGCCAGGAGTATGGTCAGGCAGCCAACGACCGCTGGTAAGAAGAACACGACAAAAGGGCCACTTTCATTTTCCGTACAACTCATCACTCACATGTTAAAATGTTTATTAAAAAGTCACAATATTGTTTTATTTCGCTTATTTCCGATCAACACACAGCACAGTCGATCTGCCGAAGAAATTCAACAGTTGTCAAAATATTTTTTTAATTTTCTCATGTGTCTAACAAGGAAACACACATTCAGCCAAAAGATAACAGACATTTTCAACATCAAAGCAAAAAGACATGTATTCAGTACACGTTTTTTCCGCGAATTTGACGTTTGCTTATTTTATCTGCATTTTGACGCAATCGATTTGCCAATTTTTTCAATGTGAATGTGTAATGTGATGCCGGCTTTAACTTATTATTATCCAAAAAATGTAAAATATTACATGTATTTGTTATTGTAAGGCTATAGAAAATTGCCGCAATGTCTTTTGCAATACTCTGCTCACTGGTTATAACTTTTTATGTTGTCATTTGGTTCTTTGACTCCTTTTTCAAGGTATTATTTTCTAAAATGATTATGAAATAATTTATCTTGTTATGTTATTGATTGAATTTTTGTTTATTTCAGAGTTGTATGCATTATCCGTATTATGCATTCTTGGAAGGGACTGGTTTAAAGATAGGAATACTAAACTTCACATGGACAACAACGGCTTTCAACAGGTTTTTATATCGTTGGAGTAAAAATTTAACTCGTATCCTTCGTAAATGGTATACGTGTGGGTACATTTTCACCATCTGGATATTCCTACCATTCGCTATATGGACCTTGCTAACATTCATATTCGAGCATTTTTATGAGACCATTCAAATCAGCAATGTACCTGAAATCAAGGCCATGCTGCCTGGTGTAAACATTCCGGCGTCAGATTTCTGGGTGTACTTTCTAGCTATAGGATTTAGTACTGTATTTCATGAATTGGGCCATGCACTGGCTGCAGCTCAAGAAGATGTGCAACTTATATCTGTAGGTGTATATGTATTTACTATAATACCAATAGCATTTGTCCAAATGAATTCTGATCATTTGAACACCTTATCTGTTACCAAAAGATTGAAAATATTCTGTGCAGGTATATGGCACAATGTTGCTACTGCATTTGTGGCCTTACTGTTGTTCTTCTCAGCTCCCATTTTATTTAACATAGCTTATGAAACAGAGATTGGTGTTCAGATAACAGGCTTTACTGATGATTCACCTTTAAGAGATACAAGAGGTTTGATACAAGGTGATGTTGTCAATTCAATAAATAATTGTGAAATAAAAAATGCCAATGATTGGATCTACTGTCTCCACATGGCCCATGATCGGTATGGTATCTGCACTAGTGCAGAATTTGTGTCTCAAAATGATGAAATTATGATGGAAACCATAAGGGAAAATGATGTAGTTGAATGTTGCCGTAAAGATGATTTATACAGTTTCTGTTTTGAATATTTGGAGCCAAAAGTAGTAGCTGACTCAGTGTTGCCAGGTCAGTACTCGTGCTTGAAACCCAGAGATATGATCAAAGAGAAGTTTACAAAGTGTACTGAATCTGGTGGCTTCTCTTGTCCGAGAGGCATGCACTGCTTGAGGCCATCATTGAACAATCACACATATTTAATAGTCATTGAAAGGAAGGACAAACATACTGTCCTATATTTAGGGTTGCCCTATGATTTACATAAGACAGTGTTCATTGACCAGTATTTTCCAAGAATGGCACTATTCTCTTTCTTCTCTCCCTCTCAGTTTGAGAAACTGCTGAGGTATGTATTTATGTTTTCTATGGGCATAGGATTCTTGAACGTGGTTCCCTGTTATGGAATGGATGGTCATCACATAGCAAGGAGCTTGATACAAATATTAGCAAAATATTTAAATAAAAATGGTGATTTTGTGACATTTTTTACAGTATTTACTGTGGTTGTTGGTACCGGTGTGACAGTGCCTACTTTAATTTATGTATTCTACCAAGCTGTTACATTAGGTTTAGACTAATTTGTATCAATTTTAGTATAAGTGATTGATTGCTTTGACAAATATAAAGTCTGATATTCTAGAGTATATTAATGAACATAAGATACAGCAGCAAAAATAGATATACAGTTGACTTTGGTTACATAGTGTAGTTTTCTAGGGTCCTCTAGATAACTTCAAATTATAGGGAAGTTTGAATTATCGAAGGTTTTTTGCCGGGTCAACTGTATATAAGCATTTAAGTAAATAATAGTGTCCAATACAAATTAGCACAACTGGACTTAAAACAAATAAAGTAACTTGGCATTTAAAAAATGTTTTATTTTGTAAATAGCTAAATTATGTGATAAGCTTTAGTATGAATTGTTTTATTATTATAATTTAAACACAATTTTAGTTTTAAAAATGTAATGAAATAAAAAAGTTTTGTACTATAAACACAGTTTCATTAATAACACTTTTTTAAATAATTTATATGTTCCATACACTATCACAGATTACTACACTCTATAAAAAACAATGTTTCAATAATTGAATAGGTACTATTAGAGATTTTTAACTTTTGCTCAAAGACAAGGATTTTTGTAAATCTTTCAATGATTTTTGTCCATGATGAAGCATGACTTTGATGGTGGTTTCATCTTTATGGTGCATGTTGTTTCTGAAGTCCGATCTGGCCCATTCCCTTAGGTCGGCCCTTGTGGTCTCATCTGGAATTTGTCTAAGTGTCCTGAAGATTTGTCTGTATAGTTTCAAAACTTCTTGACGTAGAAGAAACTGAAAATATAAAATTTGAAGTTAGTGTTAATGTTACAATATAATCTACTGTTTCATTATACAACACCAACAGCCTATACAACATCCATTACTGAGCAAAGGCCCCTTTGCACAAGAAGGTTTGAGCATTCATCAGTATGCGTGCTCAATACTGGGAGGCATTTTCAAACTTATAATTATTAGAAATTATATGCCTAAGCCTCCTCACGATATTGTTCTTCACCGTTAGTCAATAGTGTCTAAATAATCTTAGAATCAACTGTTTACAAGTGGACCCATTTATCCCCAAGTCGTCACCGGTGACCACTCCACTAACTACTTTATAGACCTTATTTCCGATGTTTAGAGACTACTTTTGTATGAACAAATTTAGGAGATAATATTTCAACAATAAATTAAACTTATGCTCGTTGCCATTCAAGTAGTTATAGTTAACCTATCTCAATAGGATAAAAATTCAATGAAGTACTTAGCAGGCAAATATCTAAATACAGAACCATTCAAGATATAGTTAAGAAAGAACCTACGTTAGTCAATAAGTGAAACGAAAAGAGTTATTATTAGTTACCTGTTTCAAACTCAGAGTAGTTTTCGGTAATTTGGATGACATTCTTCTTTTTTTTAATTCAATCCTGTTTGCTTCTTTATAGACTAATTAACGAATTCAATTGTTGTTTATTACATTACTTTCTTAGATTTTCATTTTGCGCTGTAAATAAAAAAGCCCGAGTGCAAGTTTATAAATATAACCTATAAATCATACGACAGCCGGACAGCTGTTTTTGACATTATGACATATGCGTTTTGTTTATCATTTTACTTAAATTTGTGAAACTGGCTTGTTATAAATAAAAATTACTATTTGTGAATAAATTTATGCAGATAAATAAAATTGTCTGTTTGTAAAGTGGTTTGTAATATTAAAATAACCGCTTTTTACTTCATGCTTATGAATATATGATACCCATACTAAAATATTTTTTTACTATATTTGTCTGTCTGTCTGTTTGTACTGGTCAACCTCTGGAATGGCTGGAGCGATTTTGACAAGACTATTATTGGCAAGTAGTTGATGTATTACGGAATTACACAGGCTACTTTTATTTTGGTAAATTGAATTTTCACATTGAAAAACAAAAAAAGTTATTTCATAATTCATTTTTTTTTCTTTTAAAACTTTGCCCTTACACTAGGATTGTCTCCTGTGTCGTGGGTGCATTTACAAACATACAAGTTCTCACAAATTTAGGACACCCAGACCCGGAAGAACATTTTGTAGATCACACAAGGAATTTCTCCGTGCGGGAATCGAACCCGCGGTACGTTGCGCGGTAGCCGGTTGTCCAGCCACCGTACCAATCGTCCCGGCCGTCGGTATTCTACGAGTACGTGGACAAAGTCGCGGGCAACAGCTAGTTGATGTATAAAGTTAATGCCCATACCCAAGGAAATATCTATATACCCAATTAATGCATTACTTTCAGTTCTTGCTCTTAGCCATCGAGAAACACTAAACTTGTGACATCCAGTTCAGTAATATCACGGGTGTTATGCCCTGGAAAGGTAGACAGATGTAGATTAAAGAAAAATCTGTAAAATATAAAAAGTTCCCCTGGGATTCCATCATTAGATCCTGTTTTAATGACAATGGGACCAAATAACAAGCCTACCGTTTCAAAAAAAAAAAGAATTTTTAAAATCGCTCCAGGCGTCTCCGAGTAATCGAGTGACAAACATAAAAGAAATACAGTTGAGAACCTCCTCCTTTAGAGTTTAAAGATACAAGTTATAAAGTTAATAATCTCCTTTTGAATTTTACTCCAAACAAGGGCAGTCATAATCAAATCACTATTTAAACAATAGAGATCAATCACATCAACATCATAGTGTTCCAGACTATAACAATAAGCATTTATAGACCAAGAATAAGAACACTCACGAGGTCGCTACTTTAGGTACTCGTACATTTTCGTAGATGACTGAATGAGGTCATTATCTGTTGTTCAGTACATGATAGATAAAATGTACCTTTAAGATAATAACATAAGGCAATAAAACTCAAAACAATGAATTAGTTGTCTATCTGTGTGATTGTGCTCACTAATTTTTTTTTATGGGAGGAAAATCATCGAATGACTAAAAACCACTTCATTCCTTCGGCTCGACGTACAGGAGAAGGAACGGGGTGGTTTTTAGTCAGTAAGAGTCTGACACTCCCTTCCGCCTCACCCAGGCGGGAGCAGCCATTCGATGATTTTCCCCCCATAAAAAAAATAAAAATAAAAAAAAACCCGTGAGGTTCTCCGCGACTCCGAATCGGCATTCACCCTCAACTAAACGTCGTGCTACGTCCTATTGCAGGAGTAAATAACCGACACGTTATGATCACGTCACGACCGCTCTGCAAAGAATGACTTAGGTACGATGTACGACTAACAAGAAAAACAAGCTAATCCCATAAAATCTCCAGTTGCGTCGTGAAACAAAATAATATTCTCATTGTTATTTCGATTGATTTTTGTACTACGGAAATAAGAATAAAATTAATTTTGTAATTCATAATAATAATCCTATAACAAAGGGAAGTAGATAGATACTTAGATACAAATTAGTAAATCATATCTATAGTCTGCTAGATATTTTATTGTAAAAACTGCCTATGGAAAATCTCTTTAAAATTTTATGAAATGGAGTTTAAATCTTATACTATTACTTACGTACAATGACATTCTTTATCAAAGCCAAGTTGCCTGTGAAACGTAACAATATCATTAAACAAAGCGAGGGGTTACTTTACACATGAAGCTTGGAAGTGGACGAAAGTTAACCGCCCATGCGCTGTGTCCGGTCCGTAAGCTCCGCCCTAGGTCCGACAGTTCGCGGGAAAACGAGCTTTTTTCATGGCGCTCAACAAAGCGACCAATCATGGCCGACGTCAGTCGCGCTGCGATCGCCGCGTGGACCGCACGTCTCGTAATAGTGTCGCTGCTGCGCGCATAATATAATGTTTACGCGAACGCTAAACTTGGACAAGAAAAACTTTTGAAAATTTTCTGTAAATATTTTTTCAGTGTTATTCTCGTTGTATAATAATTGTAGTGACTCTGTATATTTAAGATGGACAGTAAAACACCTACCAATCCCTCATCACCGCCAAGGGCTCAAGTGAAAAAAGAAAATGAAGAAGAAATCAAGGTAAGGATTAGTTACAAATATTTTTGCCGACATTGACGTGGGTTTCCGTTGGAAAACCATCATCGTGTTACAGTTTCGTCTTATTGGCAAGCGGCCTGTTTCAGCCGGTCTCGTAATAAGAGACGACCGAATCGTATTTTTAAATTCGATATTTATTCATCTCGATCTGCGAGGGGACCTCTACAAAGGTTCGAGTCTCGGGGTTACGCCGAATAAATTATTCGGTGTTATATTTCAATATTAATTACATTTTGCGATACACAATAAAACGCGTGTAATATCACGTTTTCGAGGCCTTTTCCAGCCATTAAAGTGTGTAACGCGATATCCGAAGCGCGCTCGGATCGCTGTAACCAGAGTCGCTGGATGTTTTGATAATAGATATAGGCGGCGCTGCTGTGTTAGTGTGTACTGACTGGCAGCACGATAGGTGTGTGCGTGCGGGGTAATTTTAGACGTTCCTTTGCTCAAAACGTAACTCGAGACCGTCCCAGGCCACAAGCCGACGCTTCAATTTATTGTTTTCATCTGTTTATCGTAATTATGGACGTATGGTAGCGTCGTCTGTGCGCATTATTGTCGCCGATGGTCGGCCGCCCCCGTGGATTCGCGCGCTTTTATTTTGGCGCCACGGAAATAGTTTGACATGTCAATAACCTCATTGGCGTTGTCCACGCGTTGGTGACGTCACAGGACTCACGCGACGATTTGTTACTAAAAATTTGAGGTCGATTTAATTTATTGCATTAGTCGCCTCTCTGTCCTACTTACAAAGGTATCTTTTTTATTTTTAGTATTTTTATTACAGAGATCAGAATAGTAAAGTGAGGATTTGCGCATTATTTCTACGTAGCAAAATGTAAAAAACTTCAAAAAATATATTTTACGTGATAATTGCTGGTCTGAAGAACATTTCAAAAAGTCGTAAATTAGATGAAGAGTAAATGATAGTCTTGCAACATAAAGTCTTTGAACGGTAGCAATAAACTGAATATAACGATCTGATAAGTTGTAAGTGCCCTCAACCCGTTATTATGGAACCATAAATAGTGAAACGCATTTCACTTGCGAATGTGTATCAAGGTGCATATTGTTAAGTGAACTAGATGCAAGTACCTGCCAGGGGCATATCATTATTTATGTCAATACTCAACTGGCATAAGAATAGTATTAAACTGAAAAATTATAGATACAAGGGACCTACATTACCAATTAAAATTTAAATCTCGTACTTAGATAAAGTGTATTTCAAGCCATATATATTCGTTGTTGCAATATCAGTTTGTACCTTTGGGCAACTATTTCTGTTAGAACAATTCATCTCGAAATTGATTTAATAACTTCTAATAGCTTTAGAACACAATGACTAGGTATATCTTCCCATATCTTAGCGTTCCGTATCTTGTTAAGCTTGTCGCACCCTCCTTTGTAAACGTTACTACCTTTTTGTCAATGGCCACCTACAAAACAGTTCTACAAAACTTGGTTTAGTTAATTTCTCAGCCTCAATAGCAGCACCTTTGTATACTTCGTGACCGGTAGTTCTATCAGGTATCCAAGTTATTATGAACAAGTAAAGCAAATATGACAACAATTCCTTAGAAAGCAATTTCAGTATCACATTAGCATTATAAGTATATCGTGACACCGGACTTTATTTGAAACATCAGACATAGAACCCTTTTCCATCTAAATGCAAATGACAAATGTAAAATGCATTGCTCTATTACGTTATATCGTACGTCGAACTCCAATCCACCGTGCCATGTCATGGTGTAATGGATGCGGTGGAAAATTGACGGAAATGCCACAGGAAAAATACAGGCAACACGCGATCTACGCTCGTCTGACACGCTTGTTTACTTTAACAATTCAATCTGCTTAGATTATCTGAAGTTGGAGCATTTCTTTGCTTTATTTTCTTAATTAACTAAAAATCGCGGGTTACTCACGTGCATATACCTACTGAGAAAAGCTCTACTAGTTTCGAACTACAGAGGGGTTCTTTCTCATGAGCAGCGTGCGCGATGGCGGCGATGTCGCGCATCCTACTGAAACTAGTAAAGCTTTTCTGAGTATATTCACGTGAATAACCAGCGATTTTTAGTTAATTTAGTATGTCTCACGATAGTTGTTATATAAACACTTTATTTTCTTTGTACAAGTTAAAAAAACTATTCACAGATTGTTTAGCTACGTTCCAATCTAGTTTTCTGATCAAAATCTTAGACAATTTCAGCTCTTCAGACTAATCAAATCTATGAATGCCAATATAAGTGTTGAAGGCAAATCCACTAACGTCAGCCACCAGTGACCACCATAGCGTTTAAAGTGTTAATCAAATTATTATGTCTAGCGTCGCTCTTTGCCGCCAAGGGCCTAACGGGTTGCCAGGACTCCGGTTCGAAAAGCAAGAGTAGGAATGGGGTGGTTTTAAGTCACTAATGTCGGAATACTCAAAAGCTACTCAATTTTAAGTCGCGCTTAAGTATAGTTCTGTCACTATAAAATCTTTGTCAAATGACAGAAATGGCACGATATTTAAGCACGACTTAAAATTGAGTAACGTTTCAGTATTCCGGAGAAAATTCTGACACTCTCTCTCGCCTAACCCAAGGCGGGAGAAATCGTTGGATTATTAGCCTCTATCAAAAAAAAAAATAGCACGCGTCACTCTTTCA